ATTGTAATAGGAAAGGTGACTAACAAGAAACTGAATTTTGCACGATATATAGGCTTCACTTGTAATTACAACTGGGGCTTTCTTTGTCTACATTATTGTATCGAAGTTCTACTTTACAGTAGGGGAAGTTAAATAATGTCTAGCAGAAAACTCATATTAGGGTTCCAAGAATTGGAAACTGACAACTCTACGATTCAGACATGGGTGTCATATCGGATAAGATACGGATATGAGGATAAGACAAAGTTAAAATATATAAAACATGGGTCCGATGAGGATGTGACTATTAAATAATAATAGAGTTGTAATATATTAAAAATAAAACATATTATAACAATATTAATAATAAGACTTAGTAAATAGTATATTTTTAATTAAAATTGAAATAGATCAAAATAAATATCTATTATTTTCATCAACAATCATTACATCCATTGATATTCATAGTATATAAGTTACATAATAAAAATTTTATTAAAAAAAATAGAAATAACATCTCTTTTAATAGTTAACAGATGTTTTTTTTTTATAAAAAAAAATTTCGTCTTGTATCTTGGCCGGGTCGATTCAAAATTCATGACACTTCTAGCCATGTTCGACACGTATATGGCCCGACACTACCACGACGCCCCTCCAGGAAGTATCCGTGCTTCCTAGCCGCTTGTAGTATGCTGATTCCCTACGTCGCTGCACAATATGCTTGCACAAGTTCTCTCCTGGGGCCTATTTTAATATAGTGTCTGATACTTCATCAACATTAACTTCCATAGTAAATATAAACACAATTTCCTCCATCCGTTAAACTTTGTTTTACCATCTCCTCCATACTAAAGATTGAACTATTGCAACATTGACCAAAATAATTTTTGGGTTGTAATCTAAGATTTTGGTTATACATGCTTAGAAGATTACAGTTTATTTGCTTTTTCTGTTTGTTTGTGTGGTATTTTTTTATCTCACTTGTACATCTCTACATCCTGTTTGTTGTTTGATACAAGGTTCTGTTTCTTTACTTTTTATTTTGACTATTTGTTTGTATTGCGCCATTGGGTCGTAAACTTTTGCAGCCACTAAAATGAAGTATAATGAAGTAGACTGCATAAGTAAATTGTTACTTACGCAATCTTTACCCCTGAAATAGTTAGGATAAATGAGTTGAGTTGGCACAAACTTTATACCAAAATCAATCAGAACTAGATCTGGGAGGCTAACAAGTTAATTTTCACCAACAGTTATAACCATTGGAAGACGTCTGTATGACTCCTTAATGCAGAAATATGATGCCATATCATTTAAATAGTGTCTCGATATCACATTTCTTGGAGAGTAGGGTTTCAATAATGCTGATAATTCTCTGCAACAAAATATTCCTAGAAAGATCATTGCATGGTTCTGCCCAATATGTTTTCTGTTGTTCCAGTTCTCAATTTAACAAATAAGCTGTGATTGCAAACTTCAGTAGTATGTGCAGTGAAATTGGAAGGTTTTGGGAAGATGCCTGTTGTCTACACTGTTCATCATTTACATTTTTTTTTAGCAGGCACAAAAAAATAGCTTCATTTTTGCATTATATTCTACATTCTACAAGCCACACATTGAGCATACTCATGCTTCCAAAGAAATCAAATTTTGCCTGCTAGTCCCTAGTTCCAGAGAAACTCATTTCTGCTGCTCCGTAAAAATCAATTTATATAAATTTGGAATTTTAAAAAGCAATCAATTACCAGCTCGCCTCAAGAATGCTAATACACCTAGCCCAGCAACCAGAAAGCCCATGCATCTTTCTGAGCATAATCCAAACCTCCAGATCCAGAACCCCTTCTACAGCTAGGTGTTCCCGAGTAATCCAAATGCAGTTTTAACCCCTTCCAACCAACTGACCTTGCATGGTCCACAGCTGCTGCAAGATCACCATCTGATGCAAGCACAACCTTGTCATGGTCTTCGTCTTCATACAGAATCTGAGGCAGGTTGTTGCGGTCAATGTCATCCCCCACTCTGTTCATCAGTTACATGATTAAAGTTCTGTACCAAAATGGGAAAAGTTTTGTAAATCACGCGTCAGCAAGTTTTGCATATTAGTAGTATGAAATTATATTAGCACATCGATTTTGGCCGCCAAAATTGTATAGTAAAGTCCATGATGTTGTGGATCTGTAATCCGTGTTAGCTTATGTCTTTTTTTTTTTTTTTTCATTTTTGGATTTTTGCTTGGGTTAATTTGATACTTGAGACTCATGCTATCTTTTTCACTCCCTATTTCTCTCTCTCACACACACATGCACATATAGGCAAGAATTCTTGGTGCTACTTGATTTTGCTCTATAACAATGTTATGAGGTTGGCATTTACATTCTTGTCAAATACTTTTATATTTGGAATTGTATGCAAGTTACAAGTAGGAATAGTTGGATTATTTTGAACATAAATGATGTGGTATTTACTCCTCCCTTCTTTTGTCCCTAGATGATAATGGTCTACCTTGTATGAGACACTGATTGATGGATCCTGAAAGCAAGAAGTTCGGACGAGGTAAGACCTTTTAAATACTAGTTTTTTATGTTGTATGTTAAATTTATTCTCATTGTCTTTCTGTATCATGTATGGATGTTGGAAACTATGTGATGCAGATTAAGAAATGAAAGAATTAGGGATGAGAAGAGAAGAAGAAGGGAATGAGAAATTAGAAGAATAAAAGGAGATGAGAAGTGAAAAATAGAATTAAGGGGATGAGAAATAGAAGAAAGAGAAGAAAGGGGATGAGAAGGGGAACAAGGAGATTTAAGCCAAACAGGCTTCAATAATATTCAATAAGTCAACTCCTTCGTAAAACCCTTACATGTATATTTTTATATAGGGAAACTAAAATCCTAAAACAAATAAATAATAGCAACTAAATTCTTAAAAGTTAAAAGAAATTATTTAACAGATAAATATTAAAAGTATCTAGATAACTCTTATAACTAATCTATAATATCTATTCAATTCCTACATGGTCTCTATCATTTTTTTCCGATTGAGAAAAACTCTCATCTGGAGAGCTTTCAAAGCAGAAGTACCCTAAGAGAGTAGGATGAAGATGACATAATGCCTCATCTAAAATAAAAGAACTATCAACATCTTTCCATCGATCAGAATAAATGTAAGAATCTCTATCTGTAGCAATGTAAATTTGGTCACGTAGCATATCATCTATTTAGCCTAAAATAAGCGATGAAAGTGGAAAGATAAGAAATGAAGTTAGTGCTAAGTATAAGAAACAATTTCACCAGCAAAAACACTGGCTAACAAAATTAGGAGGCTCTGGAGTACCTCCATTAAGTAGCATGTCCTCCAAATAAATATCTGGACTAATACTAACATTTAATGAAAAATTTAAATTCAAGAATAACAAAACAATCCCATCAGATTTGTACAACAAACATTCAGTGGGACAAGACATCAATTAACACCCTGATGCTGAAAAGTACAGACTCAACTGAACACTTGATAGTAGGCAGAGGAATAAAGTCAACAATCTTAAGTGGGGCAGAATCCAGAACATTGCCAACAATCTCAGGTGGAGAAGACGCCGAAACAAAATCAACACTCTCAAGTTCAATTATTGGTGATGATTTAACTTTTGTCTCCATAGGAAACATGATAGGATAAAAAATAATCTCATCAGTAGTATCAATGTTCAAATGATTAAAAGTATGTTCTGAATGATGGAAAGTATGAGGGTTCAACGGAACAAAAATATAGCTATCATTATGTGCATGTTTGACATTAGGTGAAACTAGTGACTTGTACTTATTTTCTTCCATTTGCTGATTTGCAAGAATTTTAGACAAGTGCAAAAGTTGAGTTGTAAAATCAGATAATTGGGTTTTCATCCTTCTACACCCCTCACGTAATTGCCTAAGTGAATTTTTGTTATTGGCCACTTTAATTTCAAAGGTCTCAACCTTTTTCTCTAGGACAGCTTGGGCTTTCGAATGGTAACTAATGACATTAGGAATAGATTCAAATTGAATTTGATGATGACTTTGGGAAGCATGCCGTTGGTAACTTTTATGTGATCTAAGTGTTCCAGAGTAGTATTCTAGATAATCTTCATTACAAAACTCAGACTTGCTATGAACTTTATGGTGATCCCAAGAGACTCTAGGAGTGAAATAGGTATAGTGGTGACGTTGTGAAAAATTGTGACCTTGAGACATGCTTGATACTGGGTAAGCATATTAATAGGTATCATAAGGATTATATAAACTCCTGATTGACTTTTGAAATATAAGATGGTAGAAGAACAAGTTCAATAATGTAATTGACAATTTCAAGAAGTGAGAAAGTTTAAATGGAAGAAAATGTGCTTTGAACCCTTTGCAAATTCTCTAATTTTTTAATGAATAAAAATATTAGTTTCAAATTCTATGGGAGTATGCATATCATAATCAAGTTTTGTTGTGATGAAATTCTGAAACTTGTTCTGAAACTTCTGGTGATGTTTCTGCAATTTTCGGAACTTTTGGAGATTTTTTTACAATTACTAAAAGTTTTGGGGAATGATTATGTAATTTCGAAAGTTTGGGGGCAGAAATGTAATTTTTGAACTCTGGGAGAGATCTGCTATTTCAGGAATATATGGGGGCGGAGCTGTAATGTGTGGGTTGGGTCGTTAGGTTATACAGTTGGGCTGATTTTAATGAAATTAGGTCGCCTTAACTTTGTTTAAAAGGTGGGGTCAAGAATTTTTTTTTTTTTAAATGGATGGGGCTAGCCTTGGATTGGGTTTGACTGAGTCTGAGTCTGAGTCTTGGACAAGTGGTTTAGATTGTAGGCTGTTATTGTTTGGGCTAGGCAATGTTACCTGGGACTTTGGGACTGGGTTAAAGGCTGGATCATTTTAAAAAAAAAAAAAAAAAAAAAACCCTATTAGTCGTCTTCTTCAAAGCTGGTGTGCCGTTGGCCTGTAGCTTCAAGTAGCCAGCAGCAACGACGAGCTCCAGCAAGACTGAAAGATGGCAACGACGAATTTTCTTCTTCACGAGCAGGCTGGTTCGTTTCCAACTATAAGAACAGGGCAGCGACTTTTAATGACGGGCTGTGATTTTCTTGCAATGACAGCAACTGGGTCTATGTTAAATGGCAATGTTGAACAGAAGGCAGCAACTGGGTCTATGTTAAATGGCGATGTTGAACAGAAGCAACAGTACGACTAATTAAGGATGACTGATGGGCTTCTATGTCAGCGGTGATGTTGGATTGAGATTAGGCTCTGGTGCCAAATTGATGTAGATTAAGAAGGAAAAGAATTTGGAATGACAAAATAAGAAGAAGATAATGAAAAATTAGAAGAGTAAAAGGAGATGAGAAGTGAAGAATATAATTAAGGGGATGAGAAAGAGAACAAGGAGATCTAAGCCAAACAAGCTTCAATAATATTCAATAAGTTAACTCCTCCATAAAACTCTTACATGCATCCAAACGAAAACCCTAAAACAAATAAATAATGATAAATAAATCCTCAAAAGTTAAAAGAAATTAGTTAATTTATTAAAAGTATCTAAATAACTCTCATAACTAATCTATAATATCTATCCAATTCTTACACCATCTCCATCACTATGTCATTTTGTTTGGACTTCGGTGCTTTTTGTTTCTCTTAACTAAAGCCTATATCGCCCTTTCCTTCGTCCCATCCTCATGGAAAGTTAGGCTGGCCGGTATTGTAGCTTGTAGAACTTCTACATTCATCTATTGATAATAATCATTTTCAATTTTTTGATGCACTTTTGATTATTTATACTCCCCTAGCTGGAATTATGTTGTAACTATCTCCAACACTTAAAAGTCGCGTAAGATCATGAGATTTAACTTTGGTGTGCCTACCGACTAATTGGCATGAGAATGAACTTCTATAATGGAGCTGTTCAAGATGAAATTGATTTGTGACCAGCATTGTCTTTTTTGTAAATACTAAGGGGATGTGGATGAATACCCGACCCATCTAAGTTTCGGAGAACTCATGCAGAGGACTCATTATAATTCCAGTTGAATGTGTTACAAGTTACAAGGTCAAGTGGGAGATCAGAAACAGGGTTGAGGTGGTGGGTAAGAGTTGAATGGCGAAGAAATAATTGTCTGGGTTAGTACATATGTTGGATTTTATGTCTTCTTGGAGATGGGAGTTAGTTGAAGGTGCTATAAGGAGTTTCACCTGGTGAAGGTGCTATAAGGACAAGTACTCAGAAAAACATGAGTTGACCTCTTAAGATGGCACTGAATGGTGAGAGGGATTCATTTTGCTGATTATATGCAAAGACTTGGGCTTTCTTAGGTAATTTGGTAATCCCTGTTAAGAAAGCGGTGGATTGCATCGCATATGTAGTGGTGAACCTTAACTTCTTGGGAAGCTCTCAAGGTTACATGTTGTAATTGTTTCCTTTTTTCCCTCATCTTCATTTTCTTAACAATGGCATGCTACTTGGAAAAAGTCCTTTTAATTGGTCACAACAACTAAGGCCATTAGATGCATTGGTCAAGATTTTGAAACATGAGCCATGCTTTGCATAAGTTGAGTGATTGTTTTCTGACTATCGTGTTTATCAATTTGTTTCAGTCATAACTGTGATTTACTGGGTCTTATTTGGAAATCAGGGCCAAGAGAACTTACGGGTGCTGTGGATCTTATAAATCACTACAAGTTGTTGCCTCACCACGATTTCTTCTGCAAGAGATCACTTCCATTATCGATTTCAGATACACACTACCTTCACAATGTGGTTGGAGATACAGAAATTAGGAAAGGTGAAGGGATGCAACTGGATCAGCTCATTCAGAATACACCCCTTTCGAGAGAGACAAATGCTCGCATACAACCTTTTGACTTAGATGTCCTCAGAGAAGCCTTTCAACTGAGGGAAACGACTCCAGTTGATTTGTCCCCTGTAAGAAATTTGCTGCTGAGGCTTCCATTTATTTTATTGCTGGATGATGGCCCCTTTGTGTGTCTTAGATTTTCAAAATCAACTCAACAGGGTCCCCTCCACCCCACACCCAATTGCCTGTAAAAGAAAAGAAAAGAAAAAGAAAACCTCAATTGTCAACGAAGATTTTTGTATTTATGTTACTTCCTGGGAGGTGTGGAAGTAGTATTGATCTCTTTATATCTTATGGTGTTTGATAGTCAGAGAAGGGTATTCCCACTATAGCTGGAAAATCTAAAAGCGACTCTAAGTACAAGGAGAAGAAGCATAAAAAGCACAAGGACAAAGACAAAGAAAAGGATAAAGAGCATAAGAAGCACAAGCATCGTCATAAAGATCGAAGTAAAGACAAGGAGAAAAAGAAAGATAAAAGTGGTCATCATGATTCTGGTGCTGAACATTCAAAGAAACACCATGAGAAGGTATGAATATCATTTGCTGCTGATTGGCTTTGCAAAATACATACTTTCCTAATGCGATTATGAAGAAGTTTTATCTACTTAAAAGTTTAATTTGTTACATTTCCGAAGTGGTGAAATTCTGTAAATCTTTAACAAATCAACCCCAAACGAAGTATGATTCATTGTGATTGTTGAAATGAGCATTAAGCTGATAGTAAGTTTAATTGTTCAGCCTGTAGCTTTTCTTTGTTCTTCTGGATCCAAAGATCTCATTAATTCTTTCCACTAAATCCTGATTAAATCTTTTTATTAACTAGTTTATGCACACGTGTGTTGCACGTGAACGATTTTGAATTTAAAATTCTGTATATCATAAACTCGAATCTCACACACATCGTCTCTTTGAGAACACGAATCTCCGACCTCTAAATCATAGTTTCAACAAGAAATAAACCAAGGGAACAAGCCTCGCAACAGTGAAACAATGTGAAAGGGGAAAGGAGTGCATAATGTCTTATGTTCCTGAAGTCGTATGCAATTGTTTGTCACCCATTCTAGTGTAGGAAATCTCAACATGTGGATTAAGGACGAACCACTTGGGCATTTTTGTTCACAACACCACACCTAGTGGTGAATCCTTGCCAAACACCTCTTTGTATATATTCATCCAGCAACAGATCAGATACATAATTTCAATTAATTTTTAAAAGAATGAAGATGTCATATTATAAATGAGTAGAGAATGATCAAAGGAGAGTTCATAGACAATGACCAATTCCACAAAACCAATGTATAAAAAAATGAAAAATTCAATGATGAACCTACAAAGTGAGCCTCTTATAGAATGTAGAACTTCAGGGGCAGCAGTTGCAACAAAGATGATACCTACGCAGCATTTTGCCAATGTCTGAATTCTATTGCCATTGCAACTAGATTCTAAATTAAGTTTTGCACATTTGTCTAAAATCAACACCTTAGAAGCAAATGTCCCCTACTCTGCATTTATATTCATGCACCTTATGTGTGGTGTATTAGATTTGGCAAATAATCCTCTACTTGTTGTGATCACATTATCCTAATTGCTCTACTTCTCCATACTAAAATGTCTTAAAGTAAATGTTAAGATGCTTATGAATAACAAAAACTCAATACACGTAGTACTATGTAAAAGCCACAAGCTGCTGAAGAAAAAGAGAGCACATTAACCCACTAAAAGAATTCAATTTAAATATGCAAGCTGTCTAGAAACATTAATATGATGTAATACCAAAATTAAAATCACTGCTAAAAAAATAACAGACTACATGAAAGAAATAGACTCAATAATATATGTCCTCCAATTAGAAGTGAACCAATACATTTAGATAAGTAAGACGAAAAGTGATCATTGGATGAACCATAGATGCTTCCGCCACTTTTATATATATATATATATATATATATATATATATTATAGCTCATACTCATAGGCACCTTCAGAAACATGATAAACAGTTGAAATGCACTAACCCAAAACTTTTCATTTGGACTTCACATAACACGTCTTCTTGATATTGGTGCATCTTTGACAACAGAAGTCTGTCACTAATCTTTGAGAATCCAATGATAATTTCTCAACTATTTAAGCATATCTATGAAACCAAGTTAAAAGAATTGTCACACTGTAAACACACACTTTTACAGACATTCTAATATCCTACTCATAGTGGACAAGAAACACAAAAACCATTAGGTACAAACTCTCACTTTTCCCTTTGGATATGACCATATAGGAACCCTAAAGAAGAGATGATCTTTCACATCCATTATTCAACATGATTTATCCCGAACGAAATTCAGTGATGTTCACTTTAACAAATGTTTTACAATCTATGCATTTATTATAAGCTTTCATTTTTTTTCCAATTTGCTCAAACAAATTTAATGATCTTACTTCATGTCTTTTTTAGAGTCTTGCTTAATTTCAACAATTTACCATCCATCCAATGATATACCTATGTGATAAAATTAACTATTGGGCTTTCACTACAACATTAAGAAAATGTGCACTCTTGAAGTGCGTGCCTATAAGCTTGACTAAAACAATTTTGGAACTGAAAAATATATCATATTACCAAACGGTAAGGCCTAATTCATTGAAAACATACAACCTCATAATATGAGCCCACAATATCAATTTAATACGAAGTATCATCTTTCAATTCAATGGACAACTTTGGAGGGAGATAACACAATGTGTTCACCGATAAATATTGGTCAAAATCTAAACTAACAATATATACGATTTATTTATTCAAAGAACATGACCACCGTAACTGGTGATTTATCCAAATGGTTACATTGTTGTTGTATCAAGTGTTGTTAAAGTGGGGATAACAACTTGAAACCATCTATGGTTCAGTTCAACCGTTAAAAAAAAGTAATGGGTTTACTTTAGAATTAAAACTCATTGGGTTCACAATTTGTCATTTGTCATAATAAATAGTTACTATTGAATGACCAACCCCATTAGGAAGAAACTTTAACGTAAATGTCTTGTTCAGCTTTTTATGCTTTAAGTAGCTATTATCATAATTTCATGGTCATATTAATAAATTTTGAGGGGTTCATTTTTCTCCAAACTAAAGGATAGAATCACCAAAAATTGAAACCAACAAAGAATGGTGAAACTTGCCCTCTGGTAATTACTCTATTGGTACGTTGGTCAAAGTATATCTATCTCCAAGTTATAGTCAGTATTGACTTTTGGGGCAGTTGCAAGCCTGTACTTCTTGTAACTGGAAGGTTAAATTGTAGTTAGAAGTAACCCAAAATTATTGATGATCCATCTATCAATACACTTAACTACCTTAAATAACAAATCCAATAACAATCAAAATTAGCATAATAATTCATATAGTTCAACCTAGTGGCATAACCTATTAAATTTTAAAAATAAATCAAATTATACTTAGACTCCTATTCAAGCAATTTAATTCATTTAAGTTACAACAAGTAATAACAAATTATTCTAATTAACTAGTGAGGGCCGTGAATCACACTAGTGACAACCCAAAACAAAAAAACATCTATTACAGAAAACCCGTAAAATACCAAAAACAAGCCTCCATTCAGCCAAAATCCCAAACAAGCTCCATCGATAAAATTCCAAATTAATCATTCTATAAACATTACAAAATACCACCATCCAGCCATGTATAACAATAATGAAAAGAGACAGAATAAAGGAACACCGGGCAAAAAAAATTGGAGTAGGGAAAGCCATGGAAAATGTGCTGTAGGACCAAATATTGATATACAAGCACAAAATTCAATTGAAACTCCGTATAGACAAAAAACAAAACAAAAAATTGAAACTTGGAGAATAATCTTAAGAAATAGGAATCTACTGAACCTGTAACTAGTAGAGGGAGAGATGCGACGATTGAGGCTTGTATTGAAGGTGAGTCATCCATTGGCTCATCTTGCGCTGTAGAGAGAAGCCTAGAAATCTTTAGAGCCACAAGAGCATTAAAGAGAGAGTGAGGGAGAGTGGGAAGATGAAAAGAGAGTAGTGTTTGATTATTTTTCATCGGGAACTAAATGCGCAGAGAGAGAGAGAGAGAGAGAGAGAGAGAGAGAGACGTGTTGTAGCGGCAATAGGATTGTGAACCTAGTAGCTTTAGAGGAGAGGTGATGATTTAGGTTTAATAAGCAATTGATTTTGAATGATAATAATCTCATGGTTGTATTGTTAAAAGGTAGAATTGGAAGAAAACTTTTTTTTCTGATATGTTGACATTTTAAAGTAGTATAGATTAGCCTAATTGGATTGCACTTTTTTTGGTTAATTATCAGATGAGTTGTTCTTCACTTCCACAAAAAGAATCTATTAATATATGTTTTTATATGATTTCAGAAAAGAAAGCATGATGGAGATGAAGATGTTAATGACATTCACAGACACAAGAAAAGTAAGGTAAGATGGATGCTGGTTATTTACTTTAATTTCAGATTCTCAGGTGTCTGTTCAGATCTTGTTATGGGCCTGCTGCTATGATCCCCACTGTCTCCTGTGTGTTTTTACTTAATTGCGTTCTTACCATCCAAAATATTGCAGCATAAGAGCTCAAAGATTGATGAGATGGCTGTAATAAAGGTTGCAGGCTGAAAATTGGCATGTGGTCATCATTGTTTTTTGTCCTCAGATTTATGGATGAGAATTTGGAGAGTCCCATTACTTGCCACTGTTAAATTATTTGAGGTACAGAGAAGTTCATATCCTGCCATCGCAGTACATACCTATTCTACTTTCTGCATGTTTGTGGCTGCATGCACCATTAATTGGGTAATACTTTAGAGATTAGGCTGGTTGGAAACTGTCAAAGATTCTTATATGCTTGCGCATGTGCATAAATGTGGATGTTGGTCTTAATGTGAATAGAAATTTCTCTTCTTGAGTGGAAAGCAGAAATATAAAATGAGAAAAACATTGCATCTAGCTTGGTATTAGTATCATATCTTTTGCAAGTAATTACTATACATAGATAGAGGTGTATTATGCAGTATATACATTGACAAAACGTAATTTCTTATTTTCCGGAGGGGGTGAGGGCCTGATGAGATGATTTAAGAAATATAGAAATGCACATACCTTTTTTGTTGTGTAGCCCATTATTATCTGAATTTCAAATTTCGATCACCTAGTAAATAAAGGATGTAGTTTTAGCTTGCGAAAGGACTAATGGAAGTAGTTGCCAGGGGTAGAGCCTGCCATTCTTCATATGAAGACTAATATCTGATTGGGTTTGCGATAAATCTGCCATATGTTGCCCAATGTGGTAGTATTTCACCCTGATATATAATGATAGGAAGATTATGCTCTTGTAAGAGATTACAGCTTTAAATGCACATAAAAGTAGTAGAAATGGAAAATCTGGTTCCTAATTTTCCCTTTGAAACAGGACAGAAAATGCAACAAAAATTTAATTCAAAAATGAAGTCCATATTGGACAAGGACCTGGACAAGGACCAGAAGAAAGATTGATGAGGGATCTATAATGAGTAATGACTATGAAGAGGATTTTCATGTTGGGGTTTGGTACTGTTAAGGTACTGTGAAGCTTTAAGTTCATCATTGGACATGGGTGAAAACAATTTTTGTTCTCTTTTGGGGAGGAGGATGGTGAGACTCGATTGGGAGTGGTGATACATCACCAACTGGGACATCCCTTGGCCTGAACAAGTTTCCATATATTTTACCAGCCTTTTTTCCAAGCCTTGCCAGCATTTGAACTATTTTTTTTTTTAATATTCTGCCTGGCTGAGCTAAGCAAAGTGATCTGTCCTGGTTAGATTTTTATTTTTTAATTTTAAAAATTGGCATTAACACAAAATTTCAGTTTGAAGAAACAATAAAATCATTTTAGAAGCCGCCAGATACCAGTTCCTCTATTTATCAGGGCAACTTCAAAACTTCTTAGTTGGTCCTTCTGTGTGTGATTCCTACTAAAATTTATTATGACTTTCCAAATGAATTGTGATGCCATGGTCATAGTTAAGTTGTGGTGAAGCGACAAGATGGTATTAGTACCTTGATAGATAGTATTTGAATCATTTATGCACTTTAGGGGGAAAATACTCTTTGTCCATCATGTGCATCTGCTTTAATCCTAGGATTTTGCAAACCTCTACATTTCTAAGTTATCTGGCTTGTATTAACCTCACATCTATATTTGGAACTAGGAATCAAAATTGTTTTGTTGCTAGATTATTTCTCAATCTTGGTATTTTGCCTTTATATTGTACCTTTAAAGGCTCTAAGATTTCGTTTATACCTATAGTTTGGTTACCATAATTCACTAAACCCCTGACGAATCACGATTTGGATATATCGATTTCAAATATGGTGGATTCACAATCTAGATCACTAAAATGTACGATCCCAAATTGTAATACTAATTCTAAATTTAGAACGTATAAAATAAATATAAAATACGTATTAATTGATTACATGTATATAGATTTGTAATTATATATTGTTTTAGATAATAGAAAATCGAGCATAAATATAAGATAAATAATAACTAAAACTTAGTGCTTGTGAATGTTCTTTGATTGAGACAAAAGGCTTGACTTGGTTTGGTTAGTAGTGAAAATAATCTAAATAAGAGTTTCAAAATAAATTGTGACCTAAAATATCATACCAGTGAAGCCTACCCCTATCGTACACGTACCTAATAAGGTATCGTATCGGGTTCCAGTACTTGTATCCTGTACCAAAGTGGCTCATGATTCATGTGATTGTAGCTTCCTTTCAACAGATTGTCTCAATCTTGTTAATGCACCCCATGTTGTACTTGAGCCTTTTTAACTAGTGACTAGGGATAACCTGTGCTTGAAGGCACGGTGTAACATAAATGATAAATGATGGATTTGGGAGAAAAATTCAATGTGAATGGTTTTGAGAGGGATATTGGTGGCCGTCGGATGATTCTATTTGAGACCATTAGATGGGCTTATCAAAGTTTGCCTTGTTTTATATTATAGATTGACAATGGGTTGGCAGTCACAGTAAATAAAATTATGGATGCTGAAACTCTGCCTTTGCTTCTTCATACACCTACTCTCATTTGGCAGTTATGTTTGGTTCACCCATTTCCAATTGAACTTGTACTTATGGGATTTCAGCTTAAATTTTGTTAAAAGCTTGTAGATCTCTCTCCATCTATTACTGTCTACAATGCTCTCTGAGTGGATGGATAACTGAGTGCTCTGGAGTATCAGAACTGTTTGTACTGAGTAGCATTATCCTTTTTTAATATAACAGCTGATATTTAAGCGAAATGATTACATAGCTAGCAAGACTTGGGCAGACACTGATGAGTGTTAGGTTTGCCAATATATGTTATTTGTTAGACATTGTTGCAGCAAGGTAAACAAAATCCCAGGCTTTAAGTTACTGCTAACTGTAAGGTGTCATTTCCTATTAGCATTTGATCTGTTGACTTCTTCAGTCCACGAAGAATCTACTGCTTTCAGTGTCTCGATTGATTTGGTGGTATTACAGTGGGACAGCAGTTGCACCTCGGCATTATCACTTGTTATGCCTCTTGTAGTACATTTATTTATGTTTGCTGTTTTTTCCATGCAGAACAGACCACGGGGCCAACTAAAGATTGTCGAGAAGGTGAATTCACCTATTGAAGTAATTGTAAATGGAAAGTACAAATTATTGTAAAATGGACTTCTTTGTATCATAACAGGGGTTCTAATATAGTTGACGGTTGCATTCAAATCTCTCATCCTTTATTTCAGTTTTAGTTGCGCATTTTTTTTTGGGGGGGGGGGGGGGGGTATTATACAGCAGTTATCATGTACTCTTGTCCTTTTAAGATTTCCAATGTTGCACTTGTATAATGACTCTTTAAACTCTTAATCAGTTTTGGGGTTAGGAAGAATAGGTTAGAAAACGTGCTGATTGTATTTTGATTTGTTCTCTCTGTCATCTTAGAGATGACTCTTAACACGACACTAACTTTCAAAGTGGGAAATATGTTTGTAACAGTTAGAATTATGTGTACTGTCAGAAGAAATACACGACTAATTCAGGATGAAGAATTCTTACCTTTTTAATCTAGAGAGAAGGAAAATCTAAGTTGAGATTGCTACTTTGTTGCACAGGGAGTTCATCAAGTTTCTTTATTGTTGTTATTGTTATTTCAGAAAGGTGTTTGTTAGGCACTAATTCGTCACTTGCTTGCTGTACAATGTCTGGATGAGACTATAAGGATGTGTTTAGTTTAAACGTTAGGAAAGATTGGATTGGACAATCTCATCCATTTCATACTCATTCATTCGGCCTTTGGACTATAATTTCGTGTCATTTTATATTTGATTCAAGTATTAATAAGTAGTGGGTTTAACATTTATATCATCCAATATTTTGTTTGGATGGAGTATTGAATGATGGTATAAACATAATATTTTTTGTCCAAAAACATCCCAATTGTATTATTTAAACTCACTAAAAAGATAGGTTTATTTAAGAGGTTGTAGGTGGTATTAAATATATTATTCACCTGGGTCGGTATTATTTTTAGATGATAATATTGCTACCAAAAAGTGTATTTAAACATGTGTATAAGATGGATAAGGTGGGTCCAGTGTTATTTTCTTCAATCTATCTTTTATAGTACTTACAGCAAACACAATCTAAGTATCAAAAAAAAAATTGGTACCATATAAAAAATGTTTTATGGTTTTTTATTTTTAATCATCTTTAATATAAAATAGATCAATTTTTAATAAATTTATCCGACGGTTTTAAATAAATTTATCCAATTTTTTTCAAAATTATTCATATTGTATTGTGTTTTTAAGTACAAATTATCTCTAATTGATTATAAAAATGACAAATTAAAGAAACTTTAAATGTATTATATTATTATTGATAGAAAAAGTTCAGACCCAATTTCAATAATTATAATTTGGGATGTATAGGAGTCTAGTCAAGTTGTGGCTCTTCTACAGGGCACAGGCCATTTAACCGATCATAAGGCGACAAGACAAACAAGATAGGCCTGGAAAGACATTTGCTTAGTCCGTTGCATCTACGAGTCTTCTTGTACGTGTTCACATGTGAAATAATTTTAGAGGCATGTGGACGTTAAGCTAGGCATTTTCTCTTACACCAAAGCACGGGATGGAAATTCCAAAGAGTCCATCTATTTAGATTGCAGAATTTGAAAAAAAAGGCGATGAATATGTGTAGGTGGAGAGTTAAAAGAGGTTGACATATTTTTTAACGTCAACGTACTTTCAAAGAGATGAAATGATTTGAACTGTCTATTAACTGTTGGGATCAATTTTGAATAAAAGATTTCTTGGGTAGGTGGATTATTTTTTCATAGTTGTGTGTATTGTAGAGGCAAATAACAAGGGTATTTAACAATTTATAGCATAAGTATTCGGACCGTCAAGATTGTCCTACGGGTTTTTTTTTTGTGGTTAGTACACACGTCTAAATTTTATAGGCTACTATAATATGTAATGTCTAGTTTTAGTTCTATCCAGGGGATGGTTGCTCCCAAAAGTTGGAAATGGGTCGGGTCGGGTCTATTTGGTTCATTTATTGACCGGACATCGAGCCATTATGGTGCAGAGTCTCTCTATGTCTATTGGTTGAGTCCAATTTGAGCCTAATGAGTCTTTTTGACCATGTTTATGAACCGATCCGTTTGTCTATCGGGCTGCCATGTGGTGGACCAGATTAGCCCATGGGCCATGGGTCATGAGTCATATCCTCTTCTTACTGCTGCATCTCCTCCCTCCTCCCTCTATGATTTTTGCTATAATATATTTAAGTTTGTGTCGATTATTTCTTAGAGTTTAGAGACTGATTACCTTAACTTGAATTGAGTTAGAACATGTTCTTTAAAAGGATAAGGGTGACTTACACTTAGAGAGTGTATAAAAGGGATTTAACTTGAAATCTTTGAGTTATCAAAGATCAAACTCAATCATCGAACTACCTTTAAAGAGTTTTCGTTTTCTCCTCTCTTCGATTATGAGTAATATAATAGTTCTTTGCTTTAATAATTCTCCTCACGAATAAATTAATATTATTTTTCAAAATTATTAAAAAATGAACAAGGCTAATCCTGTTGGATTTCCTATACAACAAAAGCAACAAGTCCAATCCAGTGTCAAAGTATGCCTAAATCGTGGTTTTAACGTGCCCAAAAGTAACCAAAGAGAAAACAGTCCTTTTATACGTGAAACTTTTGTGCTGTTTTTATGAACCTCGAAACTATTGGTGGGCCCTGAGAGACGCACAAGATGAATAGCTTTTTGGTGTTTTTTATGCCTTGAAAAAGTCGCAGGGAATATAAAGAGCCATAAAGATAAAAAGGAAAAAGAAAACAATGTCAAAAAGATGGGATGTGATCTGAAAGATTTTAATAAAATTTAAAGGTGATGTCCTTGGCCATTTAGTGCTACATCTTTAGGAACAAAACGCTTATACCACTTAGATTGGATGACAGGTTTTCTCGAGTTATTTTTATTTTATTACCCGTGTTCGGATTTTTATCGAATATTTCTTTGAGTTCAGTGGTTAGCATTGTGGAATTTTCCTGAGTTATGACTTTAAGGTATCGTGTTTTGAATTTTAGTCAAAAAATTACATTACCTAATGTGAGTGATTTGTCGGTTAATTTTGAGTTAATCTCGCATTTGAGTTTGAACAACACTTGGTTGAGACTTGATGTTACCATAAAATATACCTCAATAAAACTCAATTGTCGAACTACATAAGATCAACCTGACCTGGTCCAGGTCATCTAGCACCTGACTCACCAAATAATATCAGAGTAGTTCGATCTCAGTCAAGTCAGCTTGGATTCCATAACCAGAAGAAGGGAAAAAGATCAGCAAACTCATCTTATCTTGAGCACTAGGCCACCGCCTCAAGAATGACACTTCATCGCTTTTAAAAGACCACATGTCCTATGAATATGTGATTACTTTTAATGGTTAAAGATTCTCGTACGATTCCAACTAATTTAGTGGGGGGCCGCACCAAATTCGCTGAACAAGGGCAAAGATTACCCATGTATAAATAGAAGAAGATGCCCTAGGAAAAAGGGATCGAATCCTCTATAATCACTCTCCTCCTTCTTCATCAGTATTTAGAATACATACAAAAGCAAGAGATTCCATTAACATCAATATTAAGAATACATAGAGAAGTAAGAGATTTCATTAACAATTGACTAGTCTCCTATTCAGTTTGGTGAGCCACTCATATTTTTGTTAGCTTACTTGATTCGTGATTGATATGATGACTCTCATATGTTCTACTCATCTTACAGTTCAACAATCGAACCTTCTCATATCCTATTTTTCACACCATCAAGACTATTCTCGATCGAAAAATGCATATGCAATCACATTCATTTTGCGCCCTACAAGCATATTTAAGGAAAAATTGAGTATCTTTTACCTCCTTAAGAGAGTTTTTAAAAGCTGAAGAGCAATGACCTAGTGCTTGTGGAAGGCAGGTCACTTCTTTCATGCATATTCAATAACTTTTTTTTTTATTACTTTTATGAGCAATAATAAATTTTATTGTTATTACTTTTCCAAAATATGTTTTTATACTTGAGGGCTTCTAGCAAAGACAAAGACTTTCAGCTCTGAGTATATTTTATTTTCCTTCCCTACAAAGCCTTATAGCTTCCAATCAACCAAGTTAGTGTGTTCGTATGCAATACAAATCAATGATTGCCTTTAAAAAATATCCACATCAATGTTCAAACTTTTTTTTTATAGGTGTCTCCTCCTATTGCCAGGCTTTTACCGGATACAGCCAAATTTATGGCAATTCTATACTCTACCTATCTCTCACTCAAATTTGAATTTCTTAAATTCTAAGAGTTGCTCAAGTGATAATAGAGACGAATTATAAACTCAGACGTCTTGAGTTCAAATCTTTAAACTATAAGAGATTTATCCCTTATGAATTCGTTAATCTCAACATAGATAACCCGCTTTTAATCGGACCAATGAAAAAATTAGTTGAAGTGTGTAAATTGACTCGAACACCTAATAAAAATAAAAAATTAAATTTCTTAAGTTTAGGTCTCGTTGAATCATTTACCAACCGTTTATTGGTAGATTACTCACCATGAATTTTAATAAAAAATTGAGAAATTGAGAAAAAAAATATATATTAGAGGGAATTTGAATTCGATCTTTTCGTGTGCGAATAAAATTTAAGAAGATTAGTAGTATGATATATATATATAGGTCCACAACAGAATAAAAACGACAAAGAAAGAGACATTGGAAACCTCAAGGTAAGCCATCAATTCCCAACACCAAGTGATAAAAAAAAAAACCAATATGGGTCTTAGGAATCATAATAGATTTTGTAAACTTAAGATGGTTGTTGTGGTGCTCTTTATTTGGTGGTTGCATGAAATAATTGTAATCCTATGGAAGTGTCGGTGCTCTTCACCTTCTGCAGATTGATGGCATGTGCCTCCAGACTTGTATGTAAGACTTGGGCTTCTAAAAGTTTAGTACTTGAAAATTTTAATGATATCAAGGTTGGGCATGGGGTTTAGCATCCTATGCGTTGAAATTATGGTTCCAATCAATATGACATTTTTTCTTTTAGCTATTATTTCCGAGTTATTCGAGTTTGATTCGTTTTGAACTTGATTTTAAATGAGT